TATATACATACATATTTATACTTATATTTATATGTAGTATCTCATTAGCGATCTTCTGCACAATTCTCATCTCCAGGTGATTGCTATATTAACTGCCTTTACGATATCCCCATTGTCGAGTATGTAGACAACTCAATACATTCAGTCAAGAGGTTCTCATTGATGCACCTCTCTGTTGTCCACGCATTCACTCTGCTTTAACCCTAGAACCCTGAAGTCGTTTCAAATATATCAGTTTATTGGTCACTTACGCACTCACCAGATCACCCCAATTTGGCGCTCCTCTTATCCGATGGTTTACTCTATATTATCTTTTTGTTTTATATCAAGTGTATATCATCTTTTTATTTTATAACAAGTGTATATCATCTTTTTATTTTATATTAAGTGTGTATCGTCGTAGTCATTCTCATGCACCTCCCATACACACTGTATCCCTCTACTCCAGTGTAATGTTCGATATTTCGATTCTTCAGGATGTAACCCGTAACTTGCAATCATACTCACTGTTCCTCTATCCCAACAAGGTCATGCACATGTTGGTATGTATGTGTATGCCGCATCTCTTATATTTTACCTACACTTGTTTTGATCTCTATACAGATGATAACTTCGATGTCTGGGTTCTGGCGGGGGCGCTCTTTCGCTTTGGACTGTACATGGCTGGGTGGTCGGCCATACTCTCTGATCGCATTGAGCTGGTAACGCCCATCACGAGTATCAAACGAGGTAGGTATGATTGATGCCCTAGGTCAAATGTCGAGATGTAAGAAATTGTACACGTATATATATAGGTGTGCGTTTTTATATACAGGTGTGTGCATCGTCTCGTAGGTTCGCCCTATACGAATTTATACACCATATAACTTATGTATAGTACGATACAAGTTTACAACATATAATAACTTACGTATAATACAATACATGTTTACAATATATAGCTTATGTATAGTACAATACGTGTTTATGATACATGTCTTATGTATAGTACAATACATGTTTACAATATATAACTTATGTATAGTACAATACATACAATATGTAACTTGTATAGTACAATACATGTTTACAATATATAACCTATGTATAGTACAATACATGTTTACGATACATAACTTATGTATAGTACAATACATGTTTACGATACATAACTTATGTATAGTACAATACATGTTTACAATATATAACTTATGTATAGTACAATACATACAATATATAACTTGTGTATAGTACAATACATGTTTACAATATATAGCTTATGTATAGTACAATACATGTTTGCGATACATAACTTATGTATAGTACAATATATTTTTACGATATATATCATATGTATAGTACAATACATGTTTACAACATATAATAACTTATGTATAGTATGATACATGGTTGTCTCGGATGAATTATTAATTGTATGTCAAATCAACCTCGATCGATAAGCGTGCATAGGCACGTCATAAACCACGATGCAACGTGCCCATCTATACGCAAGAAATGATCGGACGGCGCACCATATTAACAGTAACTCATACCCCCTGCCTTGTAGATTGGGACTAACAGTGTGTCTCTAGTACTCAGAAATTTTGGTTTTAGGGGGAGTTTAGCGTTTAGGGGTTTAAAGTTTTTTTTTCTCTTGTATTTGTATTAATGTGCCATAACTGTGTATCTGACCGTTTTGCGGACTCGTTTGTATCGAAACCCCCCTCCCCCTTTAACCCTAAACCTATCCCGTTCGCAGTAGCCAATGTTTGCCGCCCTGTAGTGGCTACTATTCAGTCTTGTAGTAGACGCATCATTCACTTGCACTAATCCTCTACCACGCTTTGTATCATTTGTACCACACTTATGTGGCCAGCTGAAGAAGGTCTGTATCTGGCGCAGGCGAACCTCTCTCCCTACAGTGGGGACACCGTGCATCAGGTAGGCTTTCAGGTTTTGCTATTTGAAGTGGCTATATATGGGGCGCAGCTTCGGTGTAGAAATATCGAGCAGGTTGATATCACGGCGTGTGTAGGTGAGTGTGAGAGTATTTCGAGATGTACCAGGTGTATAGTATGATATCGCGGCGTGTGTAGGTGAGTGTGAGAGTATGTGGGTGCTGGCAAGGTTGATTGTATATCAGCTGTTCGCCGTGATTAGTATAGTTCATAGGTCATACGATCGCATTTGTAGCTGTGTGTTCGTGTGAACGCCCTCCGTATCAACCAGAGCCGGGTGGTTGCTTGCCAGTGGTTTTAATGTGAGCGTGCATTAGCTATGGATCATACATTCAAGTGAAGTGGAGACGCGCCTAGATCGGAGCGTTTCTATTGGCATTGATGAAGTGTTTTACAGCTACGAACGCACACAAAAGCATGACTGTGGGTGGTCGTTTTCAAGTACCACTTTTTGATATACCACAACCCATATCACAGAGTCATCACTGCGATGGTACGCTCACGTCACTATCCTCCTTCACCTCCTTTTATCTACACAGTCACCGCTGGTGCTCGCAGTAGTATGGATCGCCAGTATGCTTAGAGGTGAGGCTGGCGTCGCTGTTCTGTGCATCGCCCTCGACTGTTTGCTTGCCTATGGCCTTGTATACACCTGGCGCTTGCATGCGCAATGGCTTACTTTGAAAGTATGTATTAATTTATAGAGTGTCAATGGCGTATGTTTGAGTACATATATGACAGTGCTGTCGCATAGATGTGAGTGTATAGATATGTGAATATGTATATATATATGTGTGTGTGTGT